CATTCTAGGACTTGCAATCTCAGTACAAGGTACCTGACTCCTCTCTCCTTGTTGCACACATCTCCACTCTGCAATGTGTGCTTCTGTTGTCACCTGGGGAGCAAGAATGTCTGTGCAACCAATGCATAATCTGCCGGATTGCAGGGGCAAAACAAAGGAATTTGAAATATAAATTTGGATTCCAAAAATACTAGTCGTCAAGTAGGTAGCGGTGTCAGTATGTGTAGGCTGCAAAGGAACAAGTAAAGGTTTATTCCATGCTGTGGAGCCTTCTTCAGGTGTGATACAAAAGCCCAGAAACCTATCAAGATGTGTTTTGGACTGTGGGATGAAACTGGAGCACCCATAGGGTGAACATACAAACTCCACACAGAAAGAACCCCAGACCTGGAATTGAACCCAGGGCCCCAGCACTGAAAAGCTAACCTCTGTGCCACTGTATCACTCTAGACATCAAATTCACAGAATTTTGTATCACAGAGTGCACTTAATTTCATTCAGATGCTATCATATGAAACGTGTTCCTAATCTTTTATGTATGCTCTGGGCACCATTTTATTTATTGTGGAAGAGTCTGGATGCGTTTAAGCTAAGAAAACGTGTTTAGTTAGTTTCCAGTGTGTCCTTGTAAACAAGCACATTCCTTGTTCTCGCCTCTCACTCATGCTAAATTATAATGCCAATCTGGACATTACACAGCGGCGTGGAAGGAGCTGGTTGATTGCTCTTACCAAGATGTTGGGTTTCTGTGGGGAGCCTGCTACCACTTTATGTGATTTATATACAGCTCTCAATTGCTCAGACACGTGGTGCCAGGGGGTTGCATGGAAGGGTTGAAGTGCAGCTGCACTCATATTCTTACTCTGTGGTATATTTAAGGGGTACTTTGTGAGAACCTCAGAGGTGATTACTGATAAATTGTGCGTGGGGGGTGTCTTGTATTGTTTAGTTCTCTTTTTGTTCTGTTTTTGTACATCATTTAAATGTCTAAATCATGTTTCACAAAAATAATATAAATGGAACCAAACAAAAAATGACTGACAGCTTTGTTATGATCAGGCGACTATTTTCAGAAGGTACTTCAGCTATCAAGAACGTGTGTCAGAGCACATCAAAACATCTTGGTAGAAATAATAACCTCCATGATAAGGGCAGCCATCTTTCAATAAATCCAAAGGCACGATGCTAAAATGCAATTATTTTAAAATACAAGGTTTAAACTAAGACAAACATTAGACTTTACAATGTACTGTATGAAGAAACTCATCAGCAGAATTCTTTGGCTCCCCTAATGCTACACATTGGCACACACATTAAGAAGACCTTTATTCAGCAGAATTGATCATCTATCTCATTTCATATATATTGAGATCCTGAAGTTTTTATCACAGTCGTCATTTCATTTCACTTATAATTTACTGTCACTGGCACCTTTCTGCAGTTTGTTTTCATGCACTTCTTAAAGGGAACTACAATCCTAATTCCTCAGACTGGTTATTAAGTCTATGTAACAAAATATATTAATTGATGGTATCTCAAACGTTTACAAATTCCAGATTCTGCACAAAATTGCCATGTTGTCGCAAACCGCTGGTCTTGCCACAGGCGAGATCGAGAGTTCGCCAGAATTGTGACATAAAATCAACCTTTCCTGCTCACTAGTCATTTGAGAACAAAAATGGAATCTTGGTCTTGGTCTCTTTCTCAATTTATGAGAAAATAAGTGCAAGTTATTCCAACTGCAGAAATGTTCCAACATGATCTGCAAGCAGAGTTAACAAGCAAGTAGTATTTGTCAGCAAACTGTCTCAAGGTCGATATGTTAAAGAAGAGTTTACATGGTTATGAAGCCTGACAGTTTGTAATATGAAATATATTTTGATTTCTGATACTGAACCAAATCTTGTACTCAACCAGGTGCCATTGCTACCATTTTTGCCCATAAAAGCAACCAATGACACGAGAACACTTGACTGGGTGATCTCACTGCTTCATAGGAAAACAGGAAAAATCTATCTTCTTTGTACTTTCACTGTGGTTTGAAAAGAACTCTTCAATGCTGATTCTTTATGAAGAATTAAGCTGATTCCTTGAAATGTAAAAATAGTGATGTGATTCCCCTTTAAGATTATTGTTTGCTTATTTATTTGTTAATGTGTAGATTATACTGTTTACTACATAATGCTAGCCAAAACGTTTGCCCTAGTATTATTAGAGCGTTTGTATACCGTTCAAAAATCATCAGGCTAATTCGCAACATACTTTAGAGAACCACAGACACAGGGTTTTACCTCTCACCTGCCTACTTTATGTTCAGTCTCAGATGCTTTTATGTAAGCTCTTAACACATAGTAGAGCTGATGTTTTTGAAGCTTGTATTCTTCAGTACAAAACAAGGTCTATGGGAAAATAAAATAAAAACATAATACCTCTAGTCTGACTAAAAGGCAGCCCTTCTTGCCCTTGTTTTTAAAATTAATGAGTGTTCAAATGACACTACACTGCACGATGCAATTTAGAGCAAAGTAAAACTTTCAGGAGTCATTCAATTATTAACACTCCTATATGTTTTGTTGTGAGTATAAATAGTCTCATGTTTAGAAAGTATACTCTAACTTTCACAATACTGTATGTGTAAACTGAAACTAAACATCGGCAAATCTTCTCTTAGCCCTGTGCTCTGTTATTGGAGTGTACCATAAAAGTTTCACACAGGCAGCAGGCAGTATGCTCTTTTTGGAAGAATAATGTATCATATTGCCCTTCAGGCACTGAGAGACTGAACTGCGTACAATTCTTATCAAATAACTTGCCATGGTAACAGAATACTTTTATACTCTCATAAGAATAGCCCTTTAATGGGTAAAGTCTGCAGAAGGAGGCGGTAGCAAGACCACCACTAGAACAGCACTTTAGCTCCCATGTGACATTGGTATTATACTCTCCTAAAGTTATTCAGTGGACATCTCCGTACAGACAGTGATATATGTACCTCACCGCAAGAGCGCTGAATAGTATTGTAATGAAAGAAAAGGACGAAAAGGACAAGTATAAAAATTATTGGAAAAACTGGCTGAAATCCAATGTCGTCACCTATAAGGGTAAGAATAGTTTAACCTGATGGTCCCACATCCATAGAGAAATCCACCACTAATGAATGTTTAACTTTTTTGTCGCACTTTGTAAGACGAAGAAGCTGTTGATAGCCTCTCTCTCCTTGCTCTCTAGGATGCTCAGGGTCTGAATTGTATTTTTTCAGTTTGTAGAGCAAAAGAAAGGGCTTCTGAACTGTGAATAATGGGAAATGTCTATGACAACACACTTGAACCCCTGGCAATTACCGACACAGCTGCTTCAGGATATGAAATGGAGAGATTCTGCAACAAATGCCTTGGTTTTGCACACATTTCTAAGGGCTTAACAGATGTGACATCTGTACATGCACATTGTATTTGGAATATTCTTTCAGTTCCTTGGTTTAATGTGTGCTTTAAGAAAAGTACAGCACACACATGCAGCAGATACCTACAATGTGTGTTTTTTTTAATCTGTTGGCTATTTTAAGACGGTCTGCCAATATTAGGACTATGTGCAGTTTCTGTGTCCCAGATACATTGTTATGTTATTGTCTTAAAAGTCAAAGCTCTAAACTTCTGTGATATCAGTACCCCAAGCCTGATCAAAGCTATCTCAAATGTCATATGAATGTGGCACTACAGATCCCGTATATTTACCTCATTTGATTACATAGTTTTAGAGCATGAGAAGAAGAAGCGAGATACTCCCATATACTGTAAAGAAACAATAGATCAAGAAGACTTCTGAAGGCCAACCAGTCGCTCAAACAACCAAAGTTCTCGCCCAAGTTCAGGGTGAGCTCTGTGACCGCAGGTTCAAGCCTGGGTCACGTCACTAGGCAGCTGTGACCGGGATTCCCAACGGAGGGCCACTGGGATTGGTCACCATGGTCCCTAGCGACACAGCAAGGCCTGCAGGCTCCCTGGCCTCTCCTGCAATCAGCACTGAACGGTCCGCACGGGGCTGTGTTGCCTGCAACGTGTTACAAGATGTGAGACAGAGGTGCCTGCCTACGCTTTCTCCTTCTCCCCTGTGTGGCACCTTAGAGCTCATAGCTGACAGTCGAGATGTGAAAAACTTAATCTTGTCTTCTAAACTGGAAGGGTATAACTAAGAATGGTCATTCTGTTGTTTTAAAAAAGAAAGGTTTTCAACTCGTCAGTTTAAAAAAACAACATTAACAGATGCCAAGTTCCGAATGGAATTTTAAAATTGTAGGGAGTTTATTTATAAACTACCTAAAATTCATTAGAGGTGTTGCAGATGTAATGTTAATATGCAGAATACATGATTCAAACATTAAGCTTCTGAGTTTGACAAATTGTGAATCTCTTTGAAAATATGAAAAGAATGTGAAAAATTTCAGTGCCAAGGTTTTGAGCGATTGTTGCTGAGCAATGGCGAATCTTCAGTACTGAGAGCTGTAATGCAACTAATAATCAGCTGTGACGATGCTGCTGCCCCCTTGTGGATCCCAGGGGTATTTAGGCTAAGAGAAATTCACATCCAGGGATTTAATTTTCCCTGTCCTGGACTAATGCACAGTTTCTAAAGCTTCAAAACATGGCAAAGCTGTACCTAGAACAGAGCTTATTTGAGATATGTGACAAATTCCAGTTTTACAGACTTTCAGCTACAGACATCTTTGGTTTGTTCAGGTGAATGCTTAAGCCTTGAATTAATGTAATGTGTCCTTTGTTTAGGTATGTAGTTCATATAATGCAAATTTGCAAAAAGTGCCTATTTTAAATAATAGTTAAATCAACATTTTTATATGCATTTTAAAAAGGGCTGTAGTAATCAAATATTTCCAATAAACCATTAAACATTTTGAACATGAATATGTTTTCGGTATTGATATCCAAATTCAATAGCGATCGATAATATCAAAGAATAATGGAAAAACATTAAATTTGTCATACCTGTTGGGCATCTTCCCATTTCTCCTTGTTTTCTTCCTCCAAAAGATTACTGATAATTTGAAAAAAGTTCTGTGGCAAAGAAATTGACAACATTGTAGTAAGTAACATGCTGTAAATAACCACATTTTGAGGTGTGTCATTAATTGTCTTCCTTTTTCTCCTTGAAATAATAATTATATGACCACAGGTGTGCAGCACTTAATTGCTGTTATAGTATTATTTGTGCACTGAGGTGTGCTCCAACTGCACTAAATGTGCTTTCATCAGCGTATCCCTTGACAGCTGGGTGTGGGGTGGGTGGAGGGAGCTGTCTGGAATAATAAGACCTAGTCACACTGCCCAGAGAGAACAAGTTACACTTCTGAATTTCAAGAGGAGAAAAAAGTGCAGCTTTTGTAAGCAATCTCAAAACAGATATGCTTGTGAAGCAGTAATGTCTATGGGACCTATTTTAAGCATCACAAAAGACCATTTAGGAATAAAGCAAATCAATAATCCTCCCTGCATTGTTGTTGGATTCCAACAAACAATAGGAGATGCGTCAAGCTGTTCTCTGGGGATACCTCTTGTCTGAATGCTCTCTGCTGAATAAAATATTTTTCTGCTGCTTCAGATGGACCCAGGAGAGTCTTGCTACACATAAGAGATGACTTGCTGGATGATGCCTCATAGACAGAAACACCTCAAGAGTTTTTAACCCATGAGATAAATCACTGCAGTTCTTAAAATCCGGTCACACAAGTCAAAAGTTGAAGTCTCAGTGGGTGCAGCTAAGCAGTTTTTTTAAATAATCGTTTGGATGTAATGTTGCATTATTACAGACATGAGTGGACCTGGACCAATTTTAAAATGAGGAACGACAGGCATCTGTCATTGAGAATTTCCTTAGGATGTACAAGAATAAAGCACTAATAATCAAATTCTGAAATCTTAAAAAGACAATTAAGGGACATGGGAGGACAGCAAAAATGAACTTAAACGTATGCTAACTTATTCGACTGGAAAAAATATTACATTCTGAGAAACTAGTCATCATTTATTTTATTTATATTCTTGGAACATCCAAACATGCTGTGAATATTATACAATATGTGTAACCACATCAAGGAAAATATTTTACAATATAAATCTGCTCGCACTATGAACTATTGTAGATCACTGAAATATTTAAAAAAATCAGGGGATGCTTCTTTGACACAAGTCACATCAAACAATTAAGAGTTGAAGCTCTCCCTTGAGTTTGTCTTGCTTTCACCATGTATGTGTTTGCTCCCTCTGGTGGTAATTCCTCTGCAGAAAAAACCTGCAGTAAAATGCCTGCATAGAACAAAAAATGTCACTGACTCCTTTTTAAATAAAAGAAATGAAGACGGAAGATGAAGAAAGCCACATTCTTCAAACCATTTATGACCTATATGCAATGACATCTGACATTTCACTAAAATCCACTTTCCTTTTATAAGGAACTTCTGTCTCAGGAGATTAAGTTTTTTTTCTTGCCTCTTGACAATGGCATGCTTACCTGCACATCATCAGAGGATGGGACATAATTGGCTCTTTTAAATGTATCTGTAACATTCCGGAGGATCTCCACAGAGGACAGAAGGTCGCCAGCATAGAAATTTCTTCTCTGGGTCAAATCCAAGAGGGTTTTGGTCACCTGAGACATTCCATCACCTGCCAACATCCTCTGTCCCTTGGCGAGGTACCCCTTAATCTATAATAAACAGAGTTATATGTTAACATGTGGCAGACATTGCTTCAATGTCATAATATAATCCTGAAGTGAAGGAACGTTGAAGAATTTTGGGCTTGTTCAAGTACAAGGCAGTACACCAGCTGAAAGATACACTAAACTAGATGAACACTGTCATTTCAAGGTCTAAGTCTTGACCTTAAACATATAAACATAGAGTGTGACAAGTGTTGGAGCTTCTATTCTGGTTAGGGTGTGAAAGCTCATATTTGCTTAATAGCAGCTCTGGCATACACATGGGATTCACATTGCTGTGGTAGAAGTGGTGAGATTAAGGAATTGATCATTACAGCTACGCTAGAGTATGCAAAGGAACAAGTAATAGGTTTATTCCATGCTGAAAAAAAAAAGAAAAAAAAAAAACGTTTCGGCCGTGGAGCCTTCTTCAGGTGTGAGAGAGACATTGTGCTTTACAAATGATCCTACACTAGAGGATTATTTGTAAAGTACTATGATTCTAGGGGATAGTTTACATACTAGAAACCACAGCAATAATATTGATACAGCACATGACATGGTACTGTATGTTCAATTTTTCAGAAGACTCTGAATAGAGTTCATCATAAAAAATAAATAATTAAATTGTGGGCAGTAGGTATCATGTTAGTACACATTTTGAGTAGGAAATTGTCCAATGCATAAAAACAGAAAATAGAGATAAAGGGTGAAAGCTCCAATTTGGTTGATGCAGTTAGTGGAGTACCACAGGGATCTATACTAGATCCACTGCTCTTCTTAATTCATATCAATGACCTAGATTCTAGTGTAGGCAGTATTATATCAAAATATGAGTATCTGCAAATTGAAGAAACTGCACAGAAAACTGGGAACTGGGAAGCACCCGGTAAATGACATTTCATATAGCCAACTGTAGAGTGTTACATGCAGTTGGAACACACTCTTGAATGGTACATTTCCATTACTCATTGGATTTACATGCTGTAAATTGGGGAGTACCAGCATTAAAAAAAATAGAACTTAAATCAAGGGATGTTATGTTAAAATGTACAAATGTACAATTATCTAGAAAGGCACAGAATGCTCTGTACATTTACGCACTGAATTACAAAACTTGAGTACTAAAAGACCTTTTAAAAGCTATGTTTTTAGGGATTAAACTTCTTTTAAGAAAACATTGGGTAATACCTTCAGAAAGTAGCTGCTAATTGGCAAAAGAGTTAGATTAGCCAAATTGACTTCTCTTATTTGTAACCTTATGTTACAGTATATCATCTGCTGCACATGATTAGTGATGCCCCAAAATGGCTGGCTATTAGGAGTTACTAAATTACTCTGGTGGCAGATCCTCCGCAACCCCATGTTTCAGAGTACCATAACCAAGCACTGACTGCAAATATAATTCAGCCTGATGAATATAAAGGAGGGGGGGTGTCTAGGCTGCATAGCAAAAACCCTGCAAAGTGTGTAGCTCATGTACAGCATTATTAGGCAGAACAAAGCGTGTTCTTCCCTAACCCCTACCACTGGGGGAGGATTAGGGCTGTTTTCTGAACACACAAATAGAGTACATTTTGTGGTGAAAATATTCACCTGGAGGGGTCGTGGTAGCACTACTGCTCCACAGCTTTTGGGTCCTGGATTTGAGACTTGCCTATGGCACGTGGGCTCTCATGATTTCCTAGGTACTACGGTTACCCTCTTCAGTCCAAAGAATACAGTACAATTTAATCATGTCTCCTAAATTGTCCTTTGTCAGTGTGTATGAGTGAGTGTGTGTATATGCCATGCACTGGACTGATACCCCATTACTAATGACGCCCTGTGCCTTCTGCGCTAGGCTTGCCTCACCACAGCCTTCTAAGTTTAATAAAAGTGGAGGGATGGAATTCAACAATTTCTGAACATCCAAACCAACCAAAAGGTTGTAACTGCACACAGATTACATCACTTGATGTTTTCAGTCATGTAAAGAACAGATCAATTTCAATGGCAGGACTGATGCTGAATACCTCTGTGTACAGGTATTTAACCATTGATTTAGACCACATTGACAGTATAATGTATGTATTATCTATTGAGGCTGACAAATAGGGATTAATTGGTTCTGTTTTAAAAGTCAAATGCTACATTTAAAGCACAGGTCCCTTTCCATTAACAAAGGAATCACCTTCTGCTTAGATTATCTATGGGTGTCACTCAAAAAAGGTTTAATTTATTTAATTCCCAAAACACAGAAATAACACATTACAAATATAATCATATCATAATACTAGAGATCAGAAAAGCTTTCAAAATAAAAAATGGACTTGGAATTAAAATGAGGAAAAATAACATCATAAATTACAATATAAACTATATGAATGAGGATCTTGTGGCTCCAACAAAATCAATTACCTATGGAAAACTGCAATATTAGTGTTTTAATTTGGTTCATTATTTAAAACCGTTAATCTTTGCTACACAGGATGGCGTAATTTATTGCACCCTGCAAGACAGAGCCAGAGCAAGGAAGCTGACTTTGCACCTACTGATTGCTGCAAGGATCTGTATTCATTTGTTATGCATCTGGCGTAGCTGGGCTGCTCCCAGAAGGCCACTCCGCGGTGATCGAGAGAGCAGCGTCTACTAGTGGTGCCTGTGGAGCACAAAGACAGACACAAGAGCACACCTCCGCATGGAGCATCACACTGAGACCACACAGCAGAGCGCCGCGAGAGGGGGGTCCCGTCACTTATTGTCCAATGCGGAGCTGTAATTACAGCATTGTCGCATCCCAGTCAGTGTCACATCAGTGTTCTCCTTTTGTTGTGCTGTTAAAGATGATTTTTCAGGCGGTAGGGGTGATCTCATTTTGCAGATGTCGGGATATATTTAGTTACAGCACATTTAAAAGAGGTTTTAACTGCAATATCCGTTATTTTTTTAGTAAAGAAAATGGTATGATGTGTTTGGTTATGTGTCTGAAACACATTTTAAGATGTTAGTTAATATTTAGGGACAAAGGCATTGTAAATCAAATCTAAAATTAGAATAATGGCAGAAGCACTTCAAATGTGTTTATAAATTAATGTTTTTAATGTTAACACTTAATTTTTGCTTGTAATATTTTATATGCATATTGGATTTCAAATACGATGTAACAGTAATGTAGAAGATGACTTGAGTATGTCAGGCTTAGGAGCAGAGATTTGGGATACACAGACCTTGGATCTGTTTGCAGAAGTTATGAATGGAACCTGCTACCCAAGCCTTTCTCTTGAGGAAAGAAGTCCTGGTAATGTTTTGGTTTCTACAAAGTTCAGGAGCACATTAGTTGACTGCTTGATTGATGATCTGAGTCCTTTAACAGTACAAGACAGATGAAAGTACACAGATTGCTGTTTAAAATTAAAATGTGTCATCTTCATTGTTGATTTTCAATGGAGAATGGTCTGTGTGCCTCTGAGTTTGACATTAGTATTCCCAGCCTCTTGTCCTCTATGCTTATCAACTGCTGATGCTTTACCTGTTGCATTTGATGGACACCTGTTAAATGCCAGTTCTCCTGAAGGGGTTCGTCTCCACACCATGGATGCTGCGTAATCTTCTGGGCATATCTCATACGGTGCTGTAAAAATGAAGACGTGAAATTTATAGGCTTCACACTGTTGTTGATAGATGGCCTTGTATCAATAAAAAATGTTAAAAACAACAGGGCCAACATTCTTTTATATAACAATTTAGATTATAGTCTTTAATATTTTCAGAATTATTTGTAAAATTGATTATGGCATCAATGAATTTTGGATAAAATAAAGTAGTTACTGTATTGTTGATGACTTAAATAGGACTCAGATTCTACACTGATTTTGCTAAAGATGAGTGAAAATTGGGCTCCCAATAAGAAATGTGAGGTGAGTTGTCCAATACCTGCCCTTATGCAAGTGGACTACCTCCAATGAAGCAGTGATTTTTCCAAATAGTCTGCTTGACTGAAAGCATAATGAATCTATAAAAATACATTCATACAAATGTACTGTTCATTTTAATCACCTATGTAAATGAGTGAGAAGAAACTATCTTTCCCATACAGTAATTTGTTTTCTGCTTTTTAACGTCTTTTACATATTGAAAGCAACTACTGCATTTTCATTATACTGTAGATCATCAAATCCTATCCAGTTTCACTCAGACCTAAAATGTTATCCTTCCTAGCTTAAAGCAAATTCTAACTGTGCTGTACAAAGATGTAAAGGTGACCATTCCTCACTGTGAACCTCACCAAGGTAATAGTAGGAATCTCCATGGAGACAATAACTAAGTAGAAAAATCAATGTCATCACTAGCTGACAGCAATGAATCTTTTCAAACAGACAAAAGAGAAGGAGCCTCATTGCACAGCCACCCTTTCATATGTATGGAGGCCCTGTACCAGCCTGTTTTCTCAACATAGGTGTGAAATACACTGCTGTAGACATTAATAATCCCAAGCAAAAATTGTGGGCTGCTAAAAACAAAAGCTAATTGCAACTGTTTCATTAGGCTTTGGTTCCACAGTCTCTGCCAACTCAAAGATAACTGATTGTTAAGAGCTGGTCCAGGGATACCTGGGCAACGCTGCTCGCTGCACCTGCGCACTTCTTCCCCGGTGCCCTCGCACTGCTGCCCTGTGATCGCGGCTCCCTGACAGACCCTGCTCCGCCTCTGCCAGCCCCCATCGCAGGACTTGGAGCACCCACTCCAGTGCCCCCAGGGGTTCCACTGCCCGTTGGCTGGAGAACAAGCACGCATTAGACCACTCCTCTTGGCTGGATCATCACAGACGCTGCTGCATAAACAATCACAGTGTACTGCACCGATTACCATTTATTCAAACAAATACCAGTGCTGGGGTAATCTTGCTAAATACTGAAAATCAATTTCTCCAGTGTCCCGTTTTAAAAAAATAATTATATGGTCTTGGAAGTACAGTACTGTATGTACTACAGAATGTGCACCAAGTAAATGCCAGCTCTAGTGCTGGAGAACCATTTCTTTCAGTGCTTGCAGACATCTTCAACTTTACTGATCTTCAATCAGTAACCAGAGATGCCTGTAATCTGGTTTTAGGCAAGTCTCTGTTCAATTAACTAGCTAACATTTGAAAGCATAAGAACCTGTAATTCTGCAGGACAACTGCTGGAAACCAATGTTATTACAATTATGTTGTATTATTACCAAATTTCAGGGGAACTGTGGGTTTAATTTTTTTCATAGCTACACGCTATTTAGGGATATATTGTAACTCTTTAATAAATGTATAGTTGTTTCACAATTTAAACTAGGTTTTTGGTTGGAAAATATTTTCTCAATTTCTCAGGTTGTCTTAGAGTGCTATATAAGTTTGTTGAACTAATTTTATACATTTAAAGTTTTTTATAATAAAGCACTGTAGCTTTTTTATTATCTTGTAATGAATACTGTAAAAATTCTGCATAAAAAACAGATGTTGTCCTTCCTCTGTACTGTAAATTGAATGTCCTTGTCCCAGCAGTACCACCATCAAGCAAGAAGGAAAAGCAAGCTATCTAGATCCATGAGCATATCTATCACTGTTACAGTCCTCCATGCAAGGACTGACCCTGCTATTGTTTTAGAAAATGTAAAAAAAAATATGTTTTCTCAATATGTAACCACTGCATAGGTTTAAACCAAATAACTCTTGGACATTGCTGTTGAAACAAAGCAAGCTATGCAGTGTGAAGAAAGGAAAAGAGGAAAAAACGAAAGGAAGACCAGTGTTACATTATTTTTACACTGTAAATGAACAGTCAGGTCCACAGGCAAATATTCTAGAAGGGTTACAGGTCTTGTCGCTTTGATATGCCTTTGTAGGAGTGATTGATAAAATATAAAGAGGTGTTCACTGACCTGAAAGACATGCTAAACTGATATAACACTTCATTAGATAATAAGAATGAAAGTGTTGAAATGCAAACAAAACCTAGATTCACTGGTTTGGTAACAGAAGTGCCAGGACTGCAGTGTGTGGGCTTCCCACTGAGTGCCACGCAGGGCGGTGTCCCGTGCAGGAAGCGCTGGGGCCTGGCGTACCGGTGCAGTCTGGGTTAGCGCACTCCCTGCTCTCGGCCCAGTGGCCGCGACACTCCGAGCCGCCGTGTGCCGCCGCTGAGCACTGGCGGCTCCTCTGCTGAGTCCCGTTGGAGCAGGTCACTGAGCACTCGGTCCACTGGCTCCACTCCTGCCACTGGCCATCCACTGCGGCCAAGAGGAGTTACAGGAGGGAGGCAAACAGACGGGGAAAGAACAAGTTACTGTTGCAGCTCACAGCCTTTCATCTGTCCCTGCCATCCTCCTAAAACGACTTACAGGTCTGCGGGCTGCTGGTACTTAAAATAGCACGACTGATGCCGCTGCTGGAACATTTCAATATTTCAATATGAGGTACAGTATCTCTGAATAAATCCTTTAAATTGCTGACAAGAGAAAGAAATCCAGACGGAAAAAAGATGGAATGCTAAAGTCTCTTATGTGGTTAATGAATTTTAGAAATTTGTGAAGTAAATTCTTAAAGAAAAAATCCTAGAGCTGCAGTATTGGATTTAAATTAATGTGTAAAACGCTCAATATTCCATTTCTAAAAAAAAGGGCAAAAAATAGACTGGCATTTATAATACACTTTTGGAGTAGTAACTGTCTGGTAGATTTCTGCAGTTTTCTGGCAGGCTTAAATGATAAACTTTCTTTCTAATACTGATAGTACTATGGCATCACTCCTACATCTCTTTACTGACTGCTTCCAAGTCCTGGGCTTGCTTTCTAAATGCAATAAGCCTGATAACTCTGACCTGCTAAGATCTCAAAAGCTGCTGCTTCAAAGAGACTTTGAAGGTCCTCCAGGATCAGAGGTCAACACAACTGCCCGACCCCTACCAGAAGGATGTATTGAAAAAAAGGATTCTAGTCTTGGGCATCTAGTGAATGCCCAGCTGAATGGTTGTGGTCTAGGATGTTCAAGAGGGGTGTCATATCCTTATTATTATTAAGATTATTAGGCCTAACGTTTGTGTAGCAAAACTGGATTCCAGCTACAACTATAATTAGTATCACAGGAATCTCAACAACCCAACCATCTTCTCTTTGATTTCAAGTGATCAAAGTATTAGACTTTTTTTTGCTGTACAAAATGTGTACAATATTGCTTAAACCATTCACTGGTAGTCATTTAAATATTAAATTCATACAAGCATTTTAACATTTAAAGCATACTGATATTAACAATGTATTATTAAAACTCAATAATCTTATTAATGAAAGTATTTTGCCAAGATTAAAACAACGTTTTAGTCTGAAAAGATAAAAACAGATCATGCATAGCTGTTGTTCCTCTCTCTGTTCCACACATCTGAGAAAAGCACAGCTCCGCAGGGAAAAGAGAAGAACCGCAGATACAAACCTGGACACAGCGCTATGTTGCACAGTTTGGTCTGTGTTTCCGGCCCATCACAAGCTCGGCCCCCGTACTGGGGCGGAATACATGACCTCGTTCTCGTCCGCTGGCCTCTGCCGCACGTGAATGAGCACAAACTCCAGGGAGACCATTCTTCCCAAACCCCATGCACTGCAAACAGACACGAGCAGACCTTACAGTTACGGCTTGAGGGATGGGTTTCATTCACAAATAGGATCATGATTACCCAAACAAGACTGTGTGGCTTGCCAAGAGCACAAAAAACCCCAGGCTTATAACAAGACTACTGCGAACATGTGGAGTTCCTGATTGCACTGCTGTAATTGCCAGTATACGTCTGGGAAATGAAAACAGGATCATGTAATTTCTCTGCCAAGTGCATCTCTGAAGTAAGACCAGAACCCCAGAGAAATAAAACCAAGGACGATCCTCTTTCACCGTGTGCTTACTTCCTTGGGCTACTTTAGGACTGATTCAGTTCATATGCTGTTCGTGCCTTATCAACGATACCAGTTTAAGGTCTTAGTCAAAACACCACGATGTTACAGTGTTGACTTATCTATAGCACTGGGACTGTAAACTCCTCTAGCGCAATTTTCTCTGCTTATCCTATATGGTATGTTCTTGCACACTGTACTTTGTAACACAATCAGGCTTGATTTTACTCTGAATTCAGGAATAATAAAATAAGATATTACCAGGTCACCAGTGTAAGTAGAAGGTGGCCTGTTCTGACCTTTACTGTGAATTTGCATTACTGATATTCAAATCGCATCATGAAAAAAAAAATGATTTCCACAAACAGTATTAATTAGGGTAAAAAAATCTCCTTGTTCTTATAGAAACTTACCATACATAAAAGGAGTTGAGTAATTACTTTTTTTCTGTTGCCAAACCCACCCCTTTCTTTTTAAGACGCTGACAATCCTGAATTAAGATTTAAAACTACTATATTAAGGTTTATCATCCTATAAGATCCATAGTTTTTAAAGCTGGAAATAGAAAATTTAGCTATTATTGCTTAATCTCTAAGAAATAACATGTTAAAATATGATGAGATCACAAAAAGATCGGGTTACATGAAATTTAATTAGCTTTGTACAATCATAATGCTACAGGGACGATGGGTGCGTGGCTGCTAACTTTGATAATGTGTGCAAAAGGGAGGAATGACAAGTTGTAAGACATTTGTGTCTTACGTAGCATCATGATTCGATAAAGAGCTAAGCAATATTCACACCATTAAACATTGCTCTGTTGCTCTTAACTCCCACCCAAAAATATTCTAAAATTCTAAGAAATGATAGACAACAGGGACCTACACAACAAAGGTCAGTTTATATTGTATTTTTACTAAAGAACATAAAAAACAAACTTGGCACTTTATATGTACAGTAAAAGCTTGAAAATACAAAAATATTTGTTTTTCATCTGACAATATGAGATTTAACATGGTTTGATCTATTTTAACAAAAAGAAAAAAAAATGATTTTGCAAAACTATTGACAAATCCAGAATAAATTAATATACAAAGTGACAGAATATGTGGTGCATTTGAAAATGTTTGAAACGGTTCTCCATATCCTAAGGCCTGATGCTGCACTCTTTTCACTGCAAAATCCTAATCATCATGGTCTTGGTTTTAGTATTAACTTCTCCACTGTTCAATAAACGGACAATGTATAAATCCAGAAATTAACGGGACTCCTTTGTTAATGTAAAATAGTTTCCATAGCACAAACAAAAGTTCAATGTTTTTTCTGTGTTCACTTTGCAATAGTTGTACTATGGAGTTTGCTGTTTCTCATATCAGGATTGGGAGAAAGCATGAGGCATTTTTTAGCAGACTGTATGGATAAAGTTAGAAGGTCTGTAAACGATGCTTGCAGTCATTTCAGCCTGTCACTGATGCCTCCCCAGGCACATATTACAGGCTGCAGGAAAGGATACTAAGATAATGTTAACGTTTTTCCATATCGTTATTTCTATACAATGATTAAAACTACATACAGCACTACCAGAACAGTAGAGCATGACAAGTAATTTCAAATGATGCTTTATTATTTTTTTTTATTCCAGCTTTCAAACAACTATTGTAGCCTGTAAGATTGTTTTGTGATGCAATGCAGGGGATTGCTTGTCATGTGTTAACCCTCTTCACTTTTAAGCGTCAGAGCACTGTTTTTAGATTCACAAGCTTTGATTAACCTGCCACTATATCCTACTAGATTCTTATGTGCAACACTTCATTCACTAAATATAACGCAAACCAGTGGAATAGCATTTAGCTGAGGTTAAAAGAAAACTAATTCTCTCTCCCAGAAAGAGCTGTAAGAACCTCAATCTGCATCACTATCTGAAAAGCTTCCAGACATATGAATAATACAAACTTCAGAAACATGAAACAAGCAATCTAAACATCTGCTGTAGTTTTTATGATTAATTATAAGATTAACAAACCCCCTTTCTATGGCTCAAGATCCATAGAACTGGAAATATGAACAGGCTGAAGAACAAATGAAGAAATTAGACAAGATGAAAAGTTCCAAGGCCCATTGGGCATGAAGTGAGTATATTTATACGATCTATTGGAGAGATTTACAGTTTGCATGACAAACACAAACACATTTTATATGTTGTATTCGTCTAATAATGTTTTCTAATGTGTTGTGATCATCTGTATTACCTTATAAATAAACATGTTTAACATATTCTACTTAAAAAATGATGCTTAGATTCTGTTTCAAGATTCCAGAAGTCAACAATCATAAAAAGACTCAATGAGACAATAATACATTTTACTGAAACTACTACAAAATATTTTACTGATGTCTTCAGGTTTTGGCTTTAATAATTTGTCACTGTTTTTCTTGCTTTTAAAACACAAAAGAACATTGGGGATGGTATAATAAATAATGCATCTTGAATTCTTTAAATAACTGGACAATGTGAAAATAAGACAACTAGTATTATAGTTAAGGAAACCTCACCCGGAGTGTCTTTTTTATGAGAAAATTTCAAAGGAATTATTTAGAATTCCTGTAAAGACATGACCCAGTGGGACAGCTCAAAAGAGCATCTCTGTAGCACATGCAAAGGGCCAGTTCCCTACTGAAATATTACAGAATTCCAAAGTTATTATTATTTGAAAATACAGGAAACACATGCCCTTATGAAGGTTTGCCATGCACTCCATATGTCTACTGTATTTTCACCTTAATTTGGCTATGAATGCGAATGATATCATGCCTCTACTGTACTCTGCTGTACTGCACATTGGAATATCAAGATATATCATAAAATATAGTTTCTAACATTCATTAGAAAGTTTTACTGCGTTGCAGCGTGAAGGCAGGGTATACGCATAGGTAACTATAGTGAAAGGTTGATAAAGCGGTTTAAAGTAATGCAGTGTATAACCACAAAACTGTGTGCATCTTCTATAATAAATTCACCGCGGTAAACATTCCTAAGGGTAAATTGGACACTGTTTCTTAAGTGCTGCAAAGCTAACCTCGTGAGAGGGAAATGTTTGTCACTCTCCTATTTCCTTCCCAGTAAAAATGATATTCCTCCTATGCCTTGATAATAATTTTCAATTAATTTAATGAACCCCCTTTTTTTATTTTATTGAGGTCTGAAAAGAGGTTGCGGGAAAGGAAAGCAAGCGAATGGGTGCCGTTGTTTTAAGCAGGATACAAAATGGCAACCAAACCAGTAGTTTTCTCTGAGACTCCTGAAACAGATAAATTGTTAAACACTCTCACATATATCAATGCGCACACACACAAGCATAAAAAGAACTGTACATTTATGAAACATTTACTCTTGTCTTGCTAGGACCCTCAATCACATCTGAGATTAGGAGAGGTAAGGTTAAAAAGGACATATGAGAGATGATCCCACACTTATTGCTAGAGGAGACAGAATTCCTCTCTTGGCACCAGCCTACCTAAGCAGGTACAATGGGTCTAATCAATATAGCAGAATCCCCATTCAGCGCTTTAAACAGTGATGCCAGAAAGCTCAGAGCACAGCATTAAGAGATATGGCACAGATTCTGAAACAGCGGTTTGATGAAGATGAAATCCAATCATTCTACAAAAGAAAAACAATAGAAGGAAAACAAAGAACTGAAGCAGGGAATTTTTAAATAGCATAATAATAAGAATAAGAATACAAAACATACCGGGGTAAAGACAAAACAAAGGAATTAAAAAGAAAAACATTAAATCATTGGCATATTATTTCCTCTCATTAGTAACACAGAATGATGTAACATTCAACCATCTGCTGCTAACACTACCTGGACAGAGGGCAGTGTTATTGCAAACCCTTGATTCTCTTAAAGGGCCGCTGCAGTGTGTTCCGTAAGGTGAGACACAAGTTCTTGTTCGCACCTGCGACCCTTGACCGCATGTAACTGAGCATGAGCTCCACTGGGACCACTCCTCTGCACCAGAGACACCTGCGTGGGAGAAGGGCGACACCAATTAATCAGACACCACAGCAAGAGCAGCATGCTACGCGCTCTGAGAGGAAGAGACAGTAAGGTGCTGCATGCCTAGCCAACCTGCCACAGATCAGCTGCACTCTTCTTGTTCAGGTTTACTGAGAATATTTCTAAGGCTGCTTTGCAACATTTCTAATTGTTATACAGTACATCATACACTTACGTAGAGAATACTGAAACGTATTATGACTCTTTGTCCTGCAGTAACAACCAAAGTGGTTTTGGCAATTAATAATATAAATAAGAAATACCAAAAAAGCCAAAAAACAAAACAAACATAAAATGTAGACCACATGCAAGAGGACACTGAATAGTTAAAAATGAAACAGCTAATGTTAGTTTATGGTAAATTCTAGAAAGTCACATGAACCAACAGCAAAACGAACCACCATTAACATAGTGGAGCTGATTACTACATGATCAACCGATCACAAAACACCTGTTTCATCTGACCTAATTTCTCAAACTCAGTCACCAGTTTAATCAGTAAAAAGAAAGAAAAGAGAAAAAATCCTCCATTATATTCAGCAGGACAGGAGCAATTTGAATTGATTTACCGTTGCAGAATGTAAGAATTACTGTAGACTATCATGGATGTATATTGAGAAAATAAAAACAAAAAATATAGAAGTACCCAAAATATAAAATGTAAAGTTTTTTTCACCATCAGTATTATATTCCTCAATTGTTACACAAATGGATGGTGGAAAGTGTGTAGAGGTCATACAATATACTGTATGAATATATACTGGAAAGTCCTCCCTCTACACTGGAATTACACTTTCTGTGGCTACGATGAAGAACTTAGCATTAACAAGACATTCTCTAAGTGCAACAGAAAGTGTAAGTGTAAATAATTCTAAATGAATACCAATTATCTCTTTTCATTAACAAAGCAGATTATATATTTTATATAACATCCTGTTGCAGTCAGATCTTAGAGTGTGCTGTCAGCAGAAGAACAACCTCAGTTAAATGAATATGTATATAATTCATACACTAATATCCCTTTTGAAATGGGCTTAAAAATCCACTCATTTTTATTAGGAAACTGAAATGCTGAATAAAGGGAGAACTGATGCTTCATGAGAACTGAAAACCCAATGTTTTACCCACTAGTCCCAACAACACCTATTTTAATAACTCATAGCTTGAATGTCATGTAATTACGTACACAATAAAAAAAGCAATAGAAAAAAAATGAACTCATAACAAGAAATATTTGGTGACTGCATGAGACTGCAGCAATTTATTCTCTAATACACACAACCCAGTTATTCTTCCCTTTAATTCTAGGTGAAAAATGTCATGGTAGTCACCAAAGATTCCAGTGTGTTAGATAATGTTATTAGATATGTCATTACTACAGATTTCCTGTCTGAGGTCTGGGCAATGCTATTCGTTGGACATTTTAAAAAATGAAATTCACCTTTCATGCATAGGTTTCATATGCATAAAGTGACATGCATTGCCCAGTGCAGCACTCATAAATTAAGTTCTATTTGTAATTTCAGCTCTGAATACATTCACATTTAATTGAAATCTTATGAAGCTTTATAAAGCATTGAGTTACCAAGCTGCTTCTGAAATAAAAAGGCTGGAGGGCAAAATGACTCAATCTAAAAGAGATCAAAGCTCTAACTTTATTTAGCTGGTTATAAATTAGACTGCACCAGACTGAAATGTGGATCAATTTATTATATGAAGTTAGACGGAAACAGTAAATTAGTAAAAATCAGAACAGAAAATGAACTGAAAGGCATATTAATAAATGCTTCAAACAAGGCAAATAATAGCTAACAGCTCAACTCTGCTACGTAATATGAAATGAAGGATGTCATGTGAAAAGAGATTTGGTGAAAAAAAAACATCCTTTTGGAACTTAAAAGGGAAAAACCTGTCATGACCACAGTTTTACAGCTGTCAAAGCGATGACTAAAAAGCAAATAGTCATGGCAGCTCTACCCCAGAACTGTTAAAGATCTTGATCTTAATACTACTGGAAGAATGAAACTTACTGTAACTAACAATCTTAATCAACAATCCAAAAAAAGAGAAAACATCACTTATTGAAATTGACAATACATCTTAATAGTTCCGTTAAAAGTCTAATATTTCAGAATGTTAATTTTGCCATATTTTGTTTTCAAGTGGGAAGCTGATGGAACATATGAGTTTCTAAAATGTGACCAATCACTGTATCAATGCATTATAAGGGTGCCCTGTTTGCAAAGCTTTCATGCATGTACTGTGTGTGTCACTCATAACATTGTTATAAGCTGGACAAAAAAGTTCCAAATATCTCGTACAGTACAAATAAGTCGTACTGTCAAGGGTGATTGTTTCTTTCTTAGTTGGTTTTGATTATTTTTTATACTAAATTTTAATTAATTAGATCAGATTATTAAAACAATTTAAATATGTACATATTTTGGCTTTGCATATTGGGTACTTCACTGAAGCAGCTTTACTGTATATTGTTCATTGGTGTGCAGTGTTATTTCTCTCCCAAATGGTTTAGCTTTTAATGGAACAATTCTTCCAGGAAGTCATTAAAGCATCAAGCCTCAGGGGTCTAGTTTGCCCATCAGTTTAATGTTTTAATGCTTTCGGGAAAAATAAATAATATATCAGTAAACTCATTTTAAATGTGTTATAATTAAACAAAGTGAAACTAGAAACCCCAATTAAATCCCTGATTCAAAGTTAATAAATTGAGGTGAACACCATATTTATCTTTACTCAAACGTGTCAGCTTTTACTTTTTATATATGGACTTTAACTGGTGACGACAATAAAAAAAGAAAAAACAAAATGACGAAAGCATTGTCACGAAAAAGTGCATTACAGAGAGAAAGCATGCAGTGCCTTAGATGAAATTAACTTTATTTAACAAAAAAGAAAAAATATAACTAGTGTATTACCAGTTTGTGCCATAAATTTAGCAGAATCAGCTTGCTCCTGAGGGACCTGTGTCTCATGAACTGATCTTGGCCGCTGACTTTTTATTGTATGCTCTCCGATCATTCCAAATTCTAAAGACAGAATAGAGGTTTATGAAAGCTATGCTTGGACAAGAACTTCAAGGTTTTACAATTCTTTGTCAAGATGGTTTAAGAACTGCAGTACATGGCTAAAACAAATGTACACACATATGTTTACTGGCATTGCTGAAAACTGTTTATCATGTGAGTTGAATATTAAATGGGATTAAAAGCACAGCTTAAACACATAGCACACATGCAAACCAACCCACAAAGAGTTTAACAAGGAGTTAATCCCCATCCCCCACCTCTAAACATGTATAAATCATCTGGAATCATTGGAATTTCTAAAATAAGCCATAGAAGAGGAGCTTCACGAATTTGACATCCTATTGATCCACTGTTTCTGGAACAAACTCAGGATTTCAGTAATTAGTCTGTAAATGAAGGAGATTGGATGCAGATAATGCATTGGTTGGTTTTAAATTATAAGTTGTTGTGGTACTTAAATGTATCATAAGATCTATTATTTGACAAATGTATTCTGAGCTGTGGATTTTAAATCTTGATTTCTCTCCTTTATCTTTAAACACAACACATTGGACATCGCAAATTCTTCTGTTATGTGCCTTAAAGAGTGTACTGAACAAGTCTTAAGATAGTGATTTTTAAATAACACATAATTTGCAAAAGGAAATCTAATGTAATGCCATGTCTAATACATCAAAACTGAAACATTGCTTGGCCCAGATTCAGAGTAAAAACCAATTAGTTAAAAACAAATCTGAATGTTGCATTCTGACAGTGTCATTTTTCAAATTAAGGCAGGGCCATTCAAAATGCATTTGGTGGTTGCATCACATGACACAAAGTCTTCTTATCACACAGTGCAGTATCTCTTGGTCATTTCTCAGAGATTACACCAGTGGCTCTAAAAAGAGAAGCTGAAAAAACAAAACCATGAAATACTGTGGTGAAGTAAGAGGTCCTATGCTGCTGAAAGATGTCTTTTAAATGAACAAAGCAGAACATGAGAATGTTCCATGCCATCACATACAGTACTACAATCAAAGGTCACAATCCTAGGAAAACTCACTGAACAACACACACTGATTCAGCAGAATGTGGAGTACATTACAGAAATGTTTCAGATACTGGTAGTCCAAACATATCTTCCAGCAGGTTCACCCTAGGATCACCAACTAGAAAAAAAATAATTCACTCATTTGAGTTCCTTATCTTTTAATGCATGAAAGACAAGCATTATAAAACATTATCTTCTCATTTTTGACACTTTATTCTTTCACGTTACTTACAGGAAAGGAAGAAAATTTGTGTGGGTTCTTTATCTAGATACTCCCAATGACATAAATTAAGTCATTACTGATTCATTCTCATGAAGTACTATGAATACAAACATTGTACAATTAATCAGTTAACAAAGTCACTAGGCTTTAGTGAGCTTCAGAGCTTGGATAAGCATCCATTTACATGCATGCTGTTGCAGCTTTCTCTTTTTAGGCCACTGTGCAGAAAAAAAACACATTGCACTTGATTGAAGGAGAGAAAAAGGAATTATATAACCATGCATCGGAAATGAAGAGGCAACAAGATGTTATATACTGTATACAGACTCTAGAAAACACATTTGGCATATACATACACAGCCTGAACCTTGAGGTATCCCTTAATATATTGGACACATTTTTAAAGCATGGAAAAAGTATTGCATTAATATTAGGTAAATTATATTTCTGAATTGAATATTGGTGACAGATAGACAGTGACTTCCATGGTACAAAAACAATTAGAAATAAAAGCTAGTCTGAATTTTAAACACCTCTTACCCGTGTTATTTCTTGAAAGGTTTCCATCTGAACAGTGTTTGAAATGAAAGAGTGATTTTTACATCTGTTCAGTAACTATTCAACCAACTGATCCAATATGTTTTTCCATGCCTTTTAAATTGTCAGTTACAGAATTATTGTGGTTGTGTGGGTGGATTATCATTATTCTGTATCTGCATTTCTTTTCCTTTTCGTAAAATGTCCTATACACATTTTAATTCTCCACAACACATTTTCTTCAAGGACGAATAGAGCGCTTTTTAATGCTTTTAGGGAACAGAAAACTAAAAAGAAATAAAAAATCAAAAGAAAAACATCGAACCACTCCTTTCCAAGTGTCCTTATTTATACAGACCTTATTCCCCAGCATGTTGGAATGTTTAATTCCACAAAAATTGAATCTTATTAATTGGGAATGATTTCTTGAACTAGCACAGTATGTTAGCAGTTGCAAAGAAATGTTATGCTTTTCTGATGCTGTTTCAGTGTCTAGGGATCTACAGTATAGTATAAGGACAAGTCAAAAGCAGTATCTAAAAGAACAGCACTGACTCATCAGAATCTCTGACAGACACGGGTGACAGTAGCACGTGGGGATGATACCAGGCGTTGCTCTTCTATTGTTACAGAACAGGTATATCCTTCCAGTTTCTGTACATTGCTTTCAGATGGACAGCAAGGCCAATCACTATTTTCCTCACAGATAAAGCAACTACAGGCTTGCATGTCTTATAAGAGATTACATATCTCTTGGAAGCCCAGTTGCAGGTACTGAAAATCCTTCTGGAACGGTTCCACAGCTGGACTCTTCCCTGTGAGAAGCATGGAGGAGAATCCCACAAACACACAGAGACACACGTACATTTACAACTCGTCAAAATTCTTTATACAGTTTGTTTTATGACAATGCTTTTCAAATGCTTGTGATACAATTGTGGTGACATATATAAATATAGGGAACAAACTCACGAGACATGCTTAATACTAATGGGAAAATGAATGGAACAAATATTTAAATTTGCTTCTCTGTGTCAGACCAAAATACACATTTTGGTGTGATGCATGTTGTCCACTCTTTTTTATTTTTTAATTTTTCTTGTAATTGAATATGCTCACACCGGAATAAGTCATTGGAGTACCCAGATGAGCAGATTTTCTCTTTTTGCAAACTTCCTCATGAGATTCATCATGTTTTCTAAGCAGCCCAGGACTAGCACTAGAGTGTTACTGTAAAACAAATTCTAAAGTCACTTTCCACTGTGGCAGCATAAGGGAGCTGGGTTGCTATGGGTGATGTAACAAACAGTAAACAGCACATCAAGTCGGCAAGGGCTGATGCAGGAGCAGTCTTCACTTCATTTCAGAGATGTCAGTGACGGTGATGGGACTGCGTACCGGGGCATACTCTGTATTCTGTTTTTATTGTCAAATGTACAATCAAGAGCACTTGGTACGGTTGTCTGATGATTCCTGAGGACTGTAAAGCTTTAGCTTGTTTTTTTTGTTTTACTTCCCATCCAGGAGCTGTGCGATGGGAAAGCAGGCTCTGCTAAAGGGAACAGTGGAGCTGGATAACATTCTTGAGCCACCATTACCCACACCTCAGGCAGAGCTGTGTCAACTGCTGTCATCTGAAAGGGCCAAAATCTGAACACCTAGCAGTAGTATCAAAATATTTACAGATCTTATTACATTTTATAGCATACCAGTCTATTAGTACTGAAGATTAATAACACAAGTAATATCATTCATATTATTAAATTATGAGTAATATAAAGTCTGTTTGGAGTAAACATATTGTTAGTTGATAAATAGAAATAATACAAATAAAAATAATTCCTTGCATTTTGTACTTTCACCCCAAACAATCCCCAAATGCTTACATGTAGTAGGGTACCCTCTACATTCCCCACTGAAAGCCAGTATCCACTCCGGTGACGTGTGGAAGCCATTACTGTACAGTATGAGCTAACAGCTCCTCCATTTCATTCCTCCTTCACCAATTGAATTAAGGGGAAACTTTAAGTAGGCCAGATCGTACAAGCTTAGTCAGGACACTGGTCTTAACACTTCTACTCTAGCAACACTGCATTGGAATGTTTAATAACCAAGTGATAAGGACCTCAGCGTAATGTCTGTCCACGGGATGGAGATTCCAGCAGCCGTGCCCCAGCCACTCCCTGCACAGCACAGGGGACATTGGTTTGGAAACTCTGCTCTAGTGTACATGAAGGAGTGCCACCTACAAGTCCACAAACACCAATACATGCATCTGCATGAGAAAACTCTAATAATCTAACAAAATAATATAAAACAAAATTAAGTTGAATATACAGTATATAAAAGAAGAAATCACAATATGAATATTTAACTAGAAGTCCTGAAAATGCTGGAGCACAATCTGTCAGAGAAATTATGTTACTCTGTATGTTTGCTTCCTGCTGTAAAGTGTGAGTAATTTCCAGGTACTGCTCAAGAAACTGTCAGGAAATGTTAGGCAATAAGTCATAAGCTCAGTGAGTTCATTCCAAGCTTAACTAGGAAGGCCCAGCTGTTGATCCAGCTGGAGAGCGTTAAATAAAAACAGCACATTGCACTGCTCACCAAACCGAAACAACATACAAGTGAAAAAAAAGCTGAGAAACACTTCATTGGGCTGGTGAATTTAATTACATAATACAGGCAAGTGCAAATGAACTGAATTCCGACAAGATGTGACCAAGGGTTACTGGGACATTTTACTGCAGTACATGCATGGCTTTCAGGCGAGACTCTGTAAGTATGATTACATGGAGTAAATCTGTGGTTAAATGTGAAACTGTTGTTTCATGGTGTAACAGCTGCCTTGTTAATATTAATTTCTATATAGGAACAAGTAATAGGTTTATTCCATGCTGAAAAAAAGAAGAAAGAGAACACAATGTTTCGGCTGTAGAGCCTTCTTCAGGTGTGATTTAATTTCAATATAGCCTACAAAAGCAAAAAATAGACCATTAAGATGAGAGGTCTTAGTAAATATTTTAAAAATTACTAAGATTTGAAGCAACTCCAACAAAATATTAGTAATATACTGTAGCAAACCTGAAGGTCTTAAAATGATTATATAAGGAGGTTATTAAACACCTTAATGATACAGGCCCCCTGAGCCTAGTTCCGCCTGGAATTTTCTTTTTTTGTTATATCTCTGCAACAGAACATACTGTA